AGACACCAGCCCCCCCCCCCCCGCGCTGCAGCGCCGCCGCGCCCGCGCCCGCGCCCGCAACTCTTCCGCCGCGAGCGCGGCGGCGCGCCGTCGCCCGGGAAGCGCGGCCCCGCCTTGCCGTTGACGGTTTGCCGCGGCGGCCGGGAAGCGTTCCGGTCTTGCTTCCACGGTTTGCCGCGTCTGCCGCCACCGGCCTTGCCGATCGCCCGCTGGCCCACGGCTGCCACGCTCGTGCTGCGTGTCTCCGCGCTCCCCCCCGCCCCGCCAGGCGCGGGGGAGCACCGAGGTTGACCATCGCACGCGCCTCGTTGGCCCGTTTTCGATCGCACGCTCGTACAGCTCCATAGCTCGTACCGCGTTTCTCCCCGCCCCCTCCGCCCCGCCAGGCTTGGGGAGCACCGAGGTTCACCATCGCACACACGTCATTCGCCCCTTTTCGATCGCCCGCTCATACAGCTCCGCCGCCCGCACGTAGATCTTCTCTGCTCCCTCCGCCCCGCCAGGCAGAGGGAGGACCAAGGTTAACCATCGCACCGGCCCCATCGACCCTGGTCGATTGCCGGCTCGTTTCGTTCAGAAAAAAGGATGAATAAGATGATTAATAAAGTAACCAACGTTTCCAACTCCTCGTCTTCCCCTCAACTGCATGGACCTCACCCATTTCTCTTCCACTGTAGCTTTGATCAAAGAGCCCCTATATCACTTGGGCGCCTTTGAAAGAAGCGAGGCTTGCGTCCCACTTCGGTTCGCAGCTGGGATTATCCTAAATGTGCGTGCAGCACCGCACCAAACTGAGACGAAATCCACTCATTCAACGCCAACTGATATCTGCATCGTAGCACTATTCGAAAGACTCGCTTCGGAGTCAGTTGCCCAACCTTCGTCTACCGTGCCAACCAGTGCATAAGCACTCCATTTCCGGCAATCACAATGTAGTGCACCCTCTTGCCCTCATACTCTAGTGCGAGTGCAATATGGAGTGGGGGAAGTTACTCTCACAAGTCTTCCGTGGGAGACATATGTGTATGGTATGGGCGAAACGCACAGTGCTCACGTGCCATCATCAACCTGCATCAGAAACGCTTTGGGATGGCCTCACACTATGCCTGTCGAGTCGGGCGGCAACCACTTTCAACACCGTAACGTTTGCCGTACACCATTGCAAGGACAAACACTCACCTTCTCGCTCCCCCAACTGAACATTACCAACAACCCAAAAACGTTACTTCGCCGTGGATGCCTCCCCTACGATGCGCGGTCCGCCTGGCGACGCGCCCGTCTGGTGCGACTCGACCTCGGCCGACGCCCTGTTCGGGCAGCGTCCCCGACTTGCGGCTCTGCGTGCGCCCCAGCCGCCCCGCGACGCTTGCAGTCGCGCACGTGTACTGCCGCACCGCCCACTCTGAAGTCCGATCGTGGCGCGTGAAGAGGCTGCTTTGCTTCATCGTTTTATTGCGCTATCGCGTGTCGCACTACTCTGGCGCTCGTACTGCCTCTCTCTACCCCCTAAATCCCCTCCGGGCGGGTGAGTTCCGAGATTGACCATCGCATAAACTTCATCAGCCTTTTTGATCCCTCCCGTACAGTTCCATCGCCCGTACTGCCTCTCTCTACCCTCTCCGCCCCGCCAGGCGGGTGAGTTCCGAGATTGACCACCGCATAAACTTCATCAGCCTTTTTGATCCCCCACCCGTACAGTTCCACCGCCCGCACCGCCTCTCTCTCTACCCTCCCCGCCCCGCCAGGCGGGTGAGTTCCGAGATTGACCACCGCATAAACTTCATCAGCCTTTTTGATCCCTCTCTCGTACAGTCCACAGCCCGTACTGCCTCTCTCTACCCCCTCCGCCCCGCCAGGCGGGTGAGTTCCGAGATTGACCACCGCATAAACTTCATCAGCCTTTTTGATCCCCCACCCGTACAGTTCCACCGCCCGCACCGCCTCTCTCTCTACCCTCCCCGCCCCGCCAGGCGGGTGAGTTCCGAGATTAACCATCGCATAAACTTCATCAGCCTTTTTGATCCCTCTCTCGTACAGTCCACAGCCCGTACTGCCTCTCTCTACCCCCTCCGCCCCGCCAGGCGGGTGAGTTCCGAGATTGACCATCGCATAAACTTCATCAGCCTTTTTGATCCCCCACCCGTACAGTTCCACCGCCCGCACCGCCTCTCTCTCTACACCCTCCGCCCCGCCAGGCGGATGAGTGCATTGCACCGACGTCATCAGCTTTGTCGGTCGCCCGCTCGTGCAAAAAAACAGAGCTGAAATTGAAGTAAACGTTTTCAAGACAATCTTCGTCTTCCCTCAACGGCATGCACGTCAACCGCTTCTCCTAAACTGTGGCTTTGATCAGAGAGGGCGTGTGTCACTTGGGCCCGGTTGACAGAAGCGAGGCATGCGTCCCAGTTCGGCGCGCAGCTGACCTCACGCTTTATGTACGTGCAGCACCACACTTAATTGAGGCGAAATCCTCGCTTCTTCCAACGTCGCCTGCGTCGTAAACGTACAATTCTTGCTGCGGTCATATTCGTACTTGAAGGCATCGTCGCCATCGGCAATTGCAGGAATTTCTTCATTTGCCAACCAGGACAGCGCCTTCCCTAACGTTCTTCCTTGCCAAGTAAAGCTCGTAATTGATGCCCGCTGTTGGCGACAGCCAGCAGTCCATCGCGTCAATTTTGGTTTTCAGACAGCGAAACGAAAGATCCATTCTAAGAGCGCGAACGCAACAACAATGCGCATCTTCCCTGAAAAATTCGATGTGGGAAACGTCCCAGAGCATCACAATTGCGACGATCGGGTATGGTCTTGTGTCTACACAGTTGGCTCCATACCGTTCCCCGACAGTTACAGAACTGACGGAATGCGACATCGGTTTTACTTGCCATGTGTGGACGATGCAGACTCCCACAGTCACCCGACCTTACAAGGAGCACAAGTGACTTGCGTGTCTTCTTCATTCGTGACAATGCGTTCAATGATCTCTGAGAGCAGAAAAACATACAATCTAGGAGGCAGCGGACAGATCTGGCATTTTGCGAGACTGTCGACGAGAGCAAACACCGGGGGTGTGCTGGGACGCACATGCCACATATCATCTCCCAGCTTTACCATCAAGCAGTCCCTCCGGTACCCGCGAGACAAGCAGCGACGGCAAACCAGATCTCTTCTCATCGATCTTGCTGGGCTCTCATCACAACCCTGCCGCTACGACCGTTCTCGATCTGCCAGATATGCGGGTGTCCCGCACTTTTTCTGGCAGTGCACGAACTGCGAGGAGCGATGGCGCAGTCTCACCACTGCCCGGCGTGCAACAGCGAGCGGCTGCGGGGCTGTGCCCGCCTGCCGCCTGCCGCTGCGCGGTTGCGGGCGCCAAGGTGTGCGGGCGCCAAGGTGGGGCCCCCCCTCGGCGCCCCCGTCCAGTGCGGCGATCGCATGCACTCAACGGAATCACGCACCCCTCATAAAAAGGAGACGACGGGCATGACGAATTTTCAAGAAACTTTAACCGCGTTCACAATTCAATTAGCTTTCCACGAACCAAGTTACCAATAAACGAATTGTACAGTACACCGATCACCGCAATTGGATTAGGGTGCGCAATTGGATTCGGTTCCTAATTAAAAATTAGCAAAATTTAAATAGAGAATGGCTATGAGATCTCGACTAGTCGCGGATTTTGGAAATGGGGGAATACGCACCTTTCAGTTAATTAACTGAGGTCCGTAATTATATTAGACTAATACAATTGGGGTTTGGAGATTGGATTTGGGTGGTTCCTGTTTGGCAATTAGATTGATCTAATTTAAAAATTAGACCAATCTGTATCCAATCTGTATGTAAAGTTCCACTTTTCTTGTGTACACGTTGCCACGTTGCATCTGGCCTTCGCACGGCACAGGACTGGCCGACACACACACAATACCCAAGGGTACCGAGGGTACCGTGATGTTTCCGCCTTGCAACTACAACTTTTCCGATTTCACCCGTCTGTTGCCACAAAAATGCACCTGATCGCCCCCCTAAACGCAACATTATCTCAACAAAATTAACTGTCAAAAGAATGGGACGCACTTGGGGTATGCTGTAATAGAAACGGCATTACAGAAGTCCCAGGCCGAATGTTTCGAGTTGGGAGATCAAAGGTCGTGGCCTTTCTGTTAGTTTAGGTAGAATGGAGACACTGCCAGTCACCCTTTTCCGCAATGCGATGGTCAGCTAACTACAGAGCGTATTGCGAGAGCTGGAGAGAGAGGAGGGGCCAGGACGAACACCAGTAAACAATTGTTGCATTTTGCATCTCTTGGCGGCGCTCTCCCGTGCGAGCAGCCGCATCACTCGTCTTCACTCGTCCCGAGCTCCGGAAGGAACAGCACAGGCTCCAGCGCGCCTGGTGCCAGGGACATCAAAGCAAGGACAACTCAACTCACAGGAGTTTTCCGACATAAACAAAACAAAAACTCACTACTTTCTAGTACAGAGTCTGTAGCCGGAATATTGCCTAAATGGAGCACATTTTGCAGGACCGATTCACGATACAGGGTATTGCAACATAGGAAGAGAACACACGTAAAAGAAAACGTCAGAAAGTACCGGAAAAAAGAAATAGAAAGGGCCTTTGGCGTACTGCAGGCGCGATTATTCGTCTTGTGGATAGAATCTTATTTATGGACGAAGAAGGACGCAACAACAACAATGTTGTTGCCGGAGGAATTGGGGCGCGAACGTCAGTCATTTGGGGAGGTCGGCTGTGACAGTCAAGAAGGAGTAGAGTTGCTGTTCCCAATTACTAAATTTTGTGATAGTCCTGAGGGATGACCGACACAGGCGGTGAGGGGAGGCCATCAGAAGCAATAGAGCTCTTCCGGCGTGCAATCGTACAGCGCTGCGACTGGCAAGCTTGGAGTACCCTCCCTCGCCCGATGCCTGATGTGCGGTTGGATACAGGCCGGGTGCGGGGAGGCGGCATGGCGTTTCCGGCGCCCACTGCATGAATACAACGACAGCGATAACAAGGTAAGCATAAAACAGTTGACGGACAACGCTGCATCCTTACAAACACTTTCAATTTCTTCGGGTTGTTGTGTGACAGGCTCGTCCTCGACCACACGACGGTCATCCGCGGTACTCAAGATGGAAGAGTCGACGAGAAAACCTAACGTGGCTTAAGATGACACATCTGGGGTTGTCAATAGGAGGCAAGATGCATCCCAAGGCTCTTCGTGAAGGTTATGATCTCAGCCGGCACAAGGAGATCCATTGACACGACCTCGCATATACGTAGTGGTCACCGCCTGCGAAGCGCATGCAGACGCGGATACACCCCGCAACCGCGCACTGACGATCTCGTTTGCCAGGGGTGCAGTCTTTGATCGCCCCACCTTGCTGCAAGCGCCGCTCACTTCGCCATTGCGGCAAGCCCCGCCATGCTGGTGCTGTTGTTTCAACCCCTCATTTCTGAAGACAACATCTTGCTGTGCGTGACATACTTGTACAGCTAGTGGCGGAGCTTTCTCAGCATTGCGCCCATCGGCAAGGAGACGAGTATCATCGCTCAGGAGGCTCGTTGCTTTTTCCCCAAAAGAGGAGGCGGGGTTCTTACCTGTGAGAGAACTCGGGGTTCGACCGCTCTCGCTGAGATGCTCCTCGCTGCCTGCACGCAGCATACCATGGGCGCCTTTTGTGGTTATGTGCAACCCGCCCCGGTCAATATACATTGCCACAAGATAACTGTCCTCGATATATTGTAGAAAGCAGATGGCCGATCCGTTTGTCATGAGTTCTACTTTGGTATTCCCCTCTCGAGTGCCTCCTTTTTCTATGATCGCAGCGCTGGCCCACTGGTTTGTGTACCTGGCGAAGAGTACATAGGAAAACAAACTTTCAAAGAACTTGCAATTCTAGCAGAGACGCGCAATTTTCCGCATTCCCTCGAGAGCTTGTATGATTGTGTGTAAGACCTCACTTCACTGTGGCTCAGAGTCCACGAGATGGTGTAAACTTTACTAGGCCCTCAGAGTTTTGCTTCTCAACTCTCAGTATGACGAGCCTCAGGGAATCTGAGCCGCAGACATAGGAAAAAGATGAGAAGCAAGAGAGCGTGAAAGAAGAGACATCACACGGTATATTTTACCTCGGCAACGATGGGGTTCGCAGATCATAAAAATCGTCCTTGTTGAGCTCCTGTGCGCGCTTGTAGATTCAGTACAGTATGTGTATCATACTTATACAACGGACAGTACCCTTGGTACTGTTGTAACATGCTGGCTATTGGACATGGTGTCACTGTCAGTGGTGGGGGGCAGGCTATTCTACAGGCGAATGAAGGACAGGCGTGTGTAGCCTTGGAGTTGCCACTCCCGCTGTTTATTCCCTTGCTGATGACTCCCCTTTTTCCAGATGAGTCTGCGTTTTATGCTGTTTATATATCCTGCCAGATATCCCTCTGCCAAGGTAATTAGATGCTTGCGAAGCCTCCCGACCAATTCGACGCCTCGATGTTGGACGTGGGCATTCTTCCTAATTAGAGTAGCCCTTCCGAACGTACTCGAATTACACGAGCTCTTCTGAGTTCTCGTTGCCTACTCTACCATCTAGTGTCTAGGTGACAAATGGCCTCATATGAGGCCAGTTTTTAGGCGGGCTTTTGCAATTCGAATAATTGTAGAAATTTATCGCTACTGTAGTGAAAAGCTTACGACTAGAGTATTAAACGTTGGCAAACCAGAAAACATTCAATTCCGTATCTCAGTCTTCCCTAATCAACACTTTCGTCTTCCTCTTCCCAAAATTTCTTCAAAATGGTGAGCGTCAATGATCCGGGAATTATTGCAGGTAACCGCGTCCACACTCGTGCAAGACTGCTCACAGCTCAGAGTAAATGTCGTTGCATGTATGGAGCCTCCTGGAAGATCAAGTTGGTCACGGGAACTGTCATTAGCATGAAAACTGACAAAGTGAAGGGTCGCAGTGTCACTTCAGTCAGAGCTAAATGGGAATTATCAGATGGCGTCAAGGAGGTCACGCTTCGCATAGCTAACATCAAGGCTGGTGAAGTGATGGACCTGATCGATGACGGTCCTGAAGATCATATCCAGCAAGAAACTGAACATTATGCGCAACCGGAGCCTACAGAGGACCGCGTGACGCCACTGGAAGGAGCACTCAGCCCGAGTACGAGAATCTCCGAGAGTGACGAAATGGATTCCCAAGATGGCCTCATGAATGTCCACGGCCGGGCCTGGAAGCGTGAGGAAGTCACGATGCATTTAAATGGTATGATACCGCCGAGAAGATGGAAGGTGATTGGACCGATTGATGAGATTATATCCCGTGGTCACAGTCCATCTCAAATGCATCCCATGGACTACTTCATGTGGATGTTCCCACAGGAGCACTTGGCATTAATGGTTTCCTACACCAACGATGCAATGGAATCACGGGGGCTTCGCTTGACTACAAGAGGTGAAATTTTGAAGTTTTTCGGGGTGCTAATCCTTATGACTCGGATTGAATTTAGCACCAGAAGGTCTCTTTGGAGCTCACAGGAAACCAGCAAATATCTCCCGCAACCTCAATTCGGAAACATCATCTCCCGCAGAAGATTCGAGGAGCTTCGTCAGAATGTCACGTTCAGCTTTCCAGCTGACTCAAATGACAGATGGGGTATGATCAGGGACTTCATGGTCGCAATCAATGATCACAGAGCATCACATGTCATTCCATCACAGACCATCTGCGTTGATGAGAGTATGTCACGCTGGTATGGACTTGGAGGAGATCGGATTGAAACCGGTCTTCCTCATTATGTGGCCATGGACCGAAAACTCGAGAATGGCTGTGAGTTGAAGACTGCTGCATGTGGAAAAGTGGAATCATAATAAGAATTGAGAACGTCGTCTCAGCTGAGGAGACTTCTTTAAAGGATTTTGAAAGTGACCACTTACACGGAACCGCAGTGACTTTGAGGTTGTTACAGCCATGGTTTCACACCAATCGTGTTGTCTGCGCGGATTCGTACTTTGCTTCTGTCCACACGGCTGAATCACTTTATGAGAAAGGTCTTAGATTCACAAGTGTAGTGAAGACATCTACCAAGAAATATCCGATGAAATATCTATCTCATCTGGAGATTGCTGAAAAGGGAGAGCACATCACACTAGTTTCGAAGCCGGTGGCCGGGCCTCATCTCATGGCAGTGATGTGCGTGGACCGAGACCGCAGATACTTTATTAGTTCTGTCGGAACATCCAACGAAGGAACTTCAATCTACCGCGAGAGATGGCGTACACGTCATGGCGTGACAAGAAAAGAGGAATTGTCTATCCGTATTCCCTCAGTCTGTGAGCAGTATTATGAAACTTGCTCTCAGATTGACCGCCACAACAGATCTCGTCAGGATGATCTCGGCTTTGAAAAGAAGTTCGAAGTCAAGGAGTGGTCTATGCGTGTCAACACTTCTTTATTGGCCATTTGCATTGTGGATGC